TATGAACGGGCCACGTGCCTGAAGACTTCATTTATCTTCTGGTGTTGACCCTGTTGGTCAGATGTCCAGACTGTTATATTTATGGTCTGGTTCATTTGTGCCAAACGTTTGGCAAAGATTGGGCTATATGTGCCAGCTTAATTGCATTTGGCGGTAATAGGTTCGATTCCTGTCAGAATAACTATAGCTTTTGAACGTATGTTGTCTAGTAAGTCCTTAAATCTTTCTACTTCTTTCTTTGAGTACCAATCAATACATTATCTTGCCCTTTGGGTTCCGGGGCCCCTATTGTGGGACGGGTAGCTGCGTTAGGCTGCTCTTTTCGATTTCAAACTGCCAATGGATTTTTTTGTATTACGGGCGCGACAATACACATGAGCGTCCGATATTACTATCTAAAGAATAGGGGAAATTACTAGAAGTTCACGTAAAAAAAAATCCCACCCTTCATCGCGGCCTGAACCCGGGACCTCTAGCACCCGAGACGTACGCTTTGCCCCGAGACCACGCAGCTACCTAGTCATACAGGTATTACGGTTGTTGAAAGACAATACAATCGGTTTGTTGTCAAACCGTTCGCGAATGAATTAGTAACTTGTATTTCGGAACTAATAAACAGTATTCGTTGCTCCTAAACCACGGACTCTGGTGTTCTAATTTTGTTTCTTCGTTGTCCCTATGTGGGGTGCAGTTTTTCGTTACTTTGAAGCCCCGCCCTGTCTGTAGTCGGGGGCCCTAATATAACCTAACGGTTAAACGGGGTTTGTTGGACCTTTCCTCGGGTGATCCTCACCCGAATAGTGGCACTTTGTGTCACCGGGTGTTTATCGCTCAATTTACCATCCTGGTGGGATAAAGTCAGTCAGTCGGAGTTATTGTGTACGTCATATTCAGATTTAAACAGGAACATGTTTCACCTGCATATTTTTGATACGCTTATTTGTCACGCTTCGCTGATCCGTTACTGTTTTAACCATTAGTCATAGCTTTAGTTTTTTTTTTTTACACACTTAGAGCACATTTGAAGACAGGGATGGATGTAAGGTAGCCCATGCACCGTGTATCGTTAAATATGACTTTTGCGACAGTCTTAGGTATCATTGAAGTTTGAAGTGTGAGCAACGGATCAACATCATGGCACAAGGGTTGTAACCCATAAGTGCGCCGTTCTTCTTCTAGCTCAGGTCTGAGTCTGAAACAGCTCAGCACAGTGCACAGGCTCTGTAGCACCGGCGAGGATGTTAAAATACGTTGGGGTTTTTTTTTAACTCCAAATTTTTTTTCCGGGCAGCGCCGTTAGGCTACTCTTTTCGATTTCTAACTAGCAAAGGATTTTTTACGTACGCAACAATGCTCGCGGGAGTCCGATCTCACTATCCATAGAACAGGGGGAATTACTAGAAGGCTAAGTCCACGTGAAAAAAATCACAGCCCTTACTTGGGATTAAACCCGGAACCTCTATCATGTATCATTATCACAATTAAGTGCCGTGTCGATAAATATAGGCGGTCGCCTTTCGCCATCTCCCACGAATACCAGATTCGCAAAAATTGCCATATTCTTGTCCTGCCTTATCAAAATAGCGTAGCTATCAGGGTAATTATATAAATCCTTGGTAAAAACTACGTAGGTTCCCCATTTACACAGTGTTACACACTAGCTCATTTCTGACTGACAAACCTTGAGCCATGTGACCTTGGCACAAGGTTACGGTTTTTTTTTCACAATGCCATTGATATTGCGTGTTGTATATTTCAGCACGCCAGCGCTTTTACCACTCCAAAAACATGGACACACTGGGTCTAACACAAACCCCCTTGGGAGTGCTGCAAACTATGTCACAGGCATTCTCTTTCTCAGAATAAAAACTTAAATGCAAGACAATCCAGAAAGCAGAGCGGAACAACAGAGCGGCACACCCGTAACCTGCTGGAAGTAGTCCAGCCCAACAAATTTATGAATGAAACGTGACCTACATTGTTTGTGAAGATCAACGTTAGTTTCACCCAAATCCTGTATTTATATAAGGTGGCGTCCTCGGCTAGGCATTGCGAGTCCGACTGGTAATTTAGACATACCTCGATCGTAACCCACTGCTGCGTGGATTTTTTATCATTGTATGAGGCGTCGCAGGTCGACCTAGCCTGAAATAGGTACTGGGATGCATGTCTTGGGGAAGTAAAGTCTCCCGGCGTAATATTGACCACATTACCCATCTAGTGCCGATTGGTCTGTAAAAATGTGGGTGCTCTTTCCATATGTGCGATGCGCCTAAACGCGTGAAAATGGATCTTTACTTTACTATAATGATATACCGATGTGAATCATGGACAGTGAATTAGTGAAAACGTTTTTGGAAGCAGCGAAGATTTGTTTTCATAGACGAATGATGAGAATACCCGTGACAGGTTTTTGTTTAAAGTAATGATGACGTCTTGAAAGAAACTGACTCATGAAGAGAACTCATTGCCCACATCAGAAAAAAAACATTCTTTGGTCATGTGATGAAAGGGAGAAAACTGGAGTACATCGTGTAGGTAGGAAAGTTGGGGGGGGGGGGGGGGGAGAGGCAGTGGGAGACAGAGGTAACAGATGCTGGACAGTCGAACACCTTAACATGGAGGATCATCTGTGTCAGAGTTGACTGAAAGTACACGAGACAGAAGGTTGAGGAATGACGTGACTACCAACGCCACACGGTATCGACTCTAAAAAGAAGAGGAAGAAGATCAAGGTAATTATCTCTTTGCGCCTGGCTCTTGTCGGGAATGTGGACTGTCTGGCTGAACGGATAAGAACGCTGAGTTGTCGTGCTGGAGACATATGGTCAAATCTTCGGCAATGTTACAGGTAATTTTAGTGTCGGTGCGAAACAATTAAAATGCTAACCTGCACAGTGAGTGGAGCACTAGAATTGCGGCCCTAAATCTTCATGCAACCCCCCCCCCCCCCCGCCGTTTTTTTCTGTGTACGCCTCAAAGATGATAGATTGAGGCTGTAATGGACATCAAGTGTCTGTTGGCAGTGATCATACTAGTCTGATGATCCTAGCTAGTGTCACTACTGCTTGATCCTTTCCTTACCTTTAGGAGACTGAGATCATAACAACCAACCAGGACAGTATCTGCGAATAAGCTAAGTAAGCTAACACTTAAGGCCTCATTATCTGAAGGGACCTCATCAAAAATTGTATTTTTTTCACGAATGCGATTTTATCAAAATGATTTTTTTTTTTTATTCTCCAGAAATTTTCAAATTTTCAACGTTATTATTCCAGGCTTCTATTTATTCTGACGTGTCTTAGCCTGGTTATATTGAATTCAACTAATATGAGTCAGCTTTCTTTTTTTTTTTTTTTTTGTTTAACTTACTTATTTTAAAGTGTTCAGTGATTAACCGCCGTAATATAAAACGGTTGCGACATTAGGGCATTATATATATCGCCAGAAGGGCAGAATGTAGCTCGGGCCTGTGTCCCCAATTCTTAACCCTTTGGAAATAAAGTTCGCTCGTTTGTTCGTTAATTCGGTACGCCTACCATGCTACTCTGGTGCAGATTCACAAATAGAAGATTCCGGATTTAACATTTGAAATCACCCCTTCTGACCGGTGGTAATGTGTTCGAATCCCTATGGAGACGGATTCAAAGAAAAACAAACTGACACGAGTTGCTAGGTCAAAACTATTTACTGACCAGGTGCATGACCTGAGAAGGATTGGTGCCACTGCTCTAGAGACAGTATATCATGTGGGTTTTTTTTTTTTTTCTCTTTAAAGTGTTATTGTTAAGGTTTTGGGGTTTATAAGGTAAATGTGTTGAAGATAGCGCTGAGAGGCTCGACTTCATTGCACCAGGTTTAAGCCATATGTTTCAGTGTCTCGCCACGGAACGGCTAGACGCTTGCTGAGAGTGTAGCAGAAAGCACAAACTCAGTAGCCCCGGCTACAGTCCTCAGAAATCTCCGTAAAAGCAGTACTTGTGCACCGCATTGCAGACTGACCAAGAAAACGGTGGGGAGCTAATATACAAGCAGATCTACAAATATCCTGTCATCAACACGAAAGACAATGCCAATCACAGAGAGGATTGGAGTAGGGTCATGAACCCCAAGGGCTCGGAATGCTTCAGAGGAAGGATACTAATACATGACTGCAGAGTATGAAAGGTAGCGATGTCGCCTCTACGCTGCCAATGCCTTCAGGTAACTTTCCAGACCAACTTTATTATTAGGTGTGCTGAAATCTCATGCTTATTTTTATGAAATATTCTTTTTAACGCGAGCTGGTCTTGCCAGTCACACTCGCCATTGCCAGGAGAACAATGCAACCCGGTCTTCTAGAGAGCCTGACAAGTGTAAACGCCATTTATTATGTGGGCGCGAATTACTTTTATAAAGTATACTTAAAAAAAATACATATCCTTTTCCTTAACACTTCCTTGTTGGCCAGGTTCACATATGTATTGTGTAGAGCAGGTACAAAAGACACAGAGATGTTTTCATTTTACTGTCAGAAACATAAACAACCTGGAAAGTTTATCGTTTTTTTTTTTTTTATTATTCAGAAGCCATGAGTTGTTAACCCTTAGGCTCGGTATTATGGATATCGCAACCTTTCGGCCTTCATTCCATTGTAAATACCGTAAATCTGGGAGAAATGTGGCTTTTCTGCCTACCCCCGGGCGGGAACCCGGACCACAAGGAGTTCGTCACCCGGTCACCGCGCAATCCTGTTTAGCCAACTATGCTAGCTAGCCGGGCATTTTTATCGTTCGAATGACATGTCAGTAACAAAGCAGCTGTGTGTGTCACAATTAGTTGTTTATTTTGACATTACTGAACAGAAATAGAACACCCAAGAGTGTGGGGACTGAACCGTGCATTTCTGGACGGCAGTCTGTGTGATAGGTAGCAGTTGGCTGACTTGATACCCGAGTGCTGTGCTTAATGTACTGTGTGTTTGTTTACTGCAGATTTCGGCTTAGATCGTGGATGTCGTTATGGCTGTTAGGACACATGGTAAGTACTTATTTGTCTATAAATAGGTCTGTCTATATGTCCCTCCGTGCGTACTTGCGTCAGTCCGTCTGTCCGCCTGTCTGTCTTTCTATTTAGTTTTATTTTTTTTTATCCCGATTATTTAAGCATATGTACACACACAAACTCGCATGCGTCTGTCAATGGTATGTTAGTTTGCCTGCCTGTTTGTTTATAAATCGTATAAGTGCTTAATGATGAATGCGTGCAGCTATGTATACTTCTCTATATATATGTGTATATGTGTGTATGTGGGGAGGAGGAGCTGCGTGTGTCTGACTTTTGTATGTGTGTATGTATGAATGTATGCGTATGTATGTATGTATGAATGTATGCGTATGTGTGTATGTATGAATGTATGCGTATGTGTGTATGTATGAATGTATTCATATGTGTATGAATGTATGCGTGTGTGTATATATGAATGTATGCGTATGTGTGTATGTATGAATGTATGCCTATGTGCGTATGTATAAATGTATGCGTATGTGTGTGTGTATGAATGTATGCGTTTGTGTATATATGAATGTATGTGTATGTGTGTATGTATGAATGAATGCGTATGTGTGTATGTATGAATGTATGCATATGTGTGTATGTAAGAATGTATGCATATGTGTGGATGTATGAATGTATGCGTATGTGTGTATGTATGAATGTATGTATGCGTATGTGTGTATGTATGAATGTATGCGCATGTGTGTATGTATGAATGTATGCGTATGTGTGTATGTATGAATGTATGCGTATGTGTGTATGTATGAATGTATGCGTATGTGTGAATGTATGCGTATGTGTGTATGTATGAATGTATGCGTATGTGTGTATGTATGAATGTATGCGTATGTGTGTATGTATGAATGTGTGCGTATGTGTGTATGTATGAATGTATGCGTATGTGTGTATGTATGAATGTATGTGTGTATGTATGAATGTATGCATATGTGTGTATCTATGAATGTATGCGTATGTGTGTGTCATCGGAGCCTCTAGTAATGCTGTCGTAAGAAATGATGATGATGGTTTTGCTGGTAATTTTGGTAGTTGTAGCGATGGTGTTGGTAGTGGTGGTGCTGGTGATAATGATGATGATCTCTGACACATTAGTATCTCTGACAGATTTCCGCCCCAGAATGTCCGGCTACAGTACTATAGTTTGACACCATATGTGACAATGTGCTAATGTTTCAAACATTCCCAGAAGTTGTGTTTGTCAACCTAGTGCTGCCTCTCCAGTTTGAAGATCACAAATGTTCGGAGGATGTTGTCATTGACGACGCCATGTTCTCCTGGACTGTGGCTGAGGTACGCCGGGCACAATCAATGTGTATGATGTTGATGTTGTCTTCTTTAAAGAACCATCCGTATAGTCACAGAGAGAATAACAGTGTGTAGTCATTTAAAGCAAAACAATTGTACTCACTTAAAGAATCTACTGTGTGGTCACATAAAGAACTGACTGTGTGGTCTTATGAAGAACGGACAATGTGGTTGCATAAAGAACGGACAGTGTGATCATACAAAGAACTGACTGTGTGGTCTTATGAAGAACGGACAATGTGATCGCATAAAGAACTGACTGTGGTCTTATGAAGAACGGACAATGTGGTCACATAATGAACTGACTGTGTGGTCTTATGAAGAACGGACAATGTGGTCGCATAAAGAACTGACTGTGTCGTCTTTTGAAGAACGGACAATGTGGTCACATAGAGAAATGACTGTGTGGTCTTATAAAGAACGGACAATGTGGTTGCATAAAGAACGCACAGTGTGGTCACACAAAGAACCGACTGTACAGTAGCAAATATACACATACACACAAACACAAACACACACACACTGTATAGTCACAAAAGGAACAACACTGTGAGGTCACACAAACATGTATATATGGAGGGGACATGTCATGGGCGCCGAAACGTATAACTCCCACTAGAAAACTTGTAAGGAGGCTAACCCCTCCTCACAACACCACGCCAAAAACCCCCTTCTCCCCCATATTTTTGTCTTGTCAACACCTCTGGAACAAGTTAGTTGAGGGCCAACATTTTGAAAATGGGGATCGTCAGGTGCAAGTTGTCCGAGCTCCAGCTTAGAAAGATCGTTAATACAATACACAGGCCGCTGTGTGGTCTCGAGGCATGGTGTCCGCCAGAGGTTCCGGCTTCAACCCCGAGTAAGAGCTGGGCATTTTTAGCGTGGACTTAGACTTCTAGTTATTCCCTCTGGTCTCTGGGTAGTCAGATCGGATGCCCGTGTGCATTGTTGTATACGTAAAAAAATCCCTTGGCAGTTGGAAATCGATAAGAGGGCCTAATGGTGCTGCCCGTGCAAAATTTGGTGTTAAAAATCTAGCCAAAGTATTTCGGGATTTTCCCCGTTACTACAGAGCCTGTGCACTGTACTGAGCTACTTCAGACTCATACTTGAGTTGGAGAAGAACGGAGCACGTATGGACACCTGCTATGATATTAATCGGTTGTTCAAACCTCAAACCTCTAATACAATACAACTGGCACTTGACAGGTCTCCGCGGGCCGGATTTGACTGGCGGGCCGTCAGTTAAATAGCACAGCATAGCCATGTAGGTGCGGTGAGTAATTATCTGTGTACAGCGTCTCCTACAAGATCCGGATCTTTACCAAGTGAAAGCCTTCTTCGTGTTGGAAATGGCCTAACGTGACATCAATGTCATTGACGCAAAGGAACTAAACAGGTGTTAACTCGTTCAATAGCAACCAATTCATCGTAAAAGTAAGTAAAGAACCTTTTCCGCGCCTTTAGGCGTATTGGGTTGGTAGGGCTAGACCTATATTTCATGGACCCAACGGCACATGGTGGGTAATGAGGTCAGCTTCACACTGGTCGCTTTTACTTTCCATGCCTTACCTGGTACCCACTCAAGGCTGGGTCGACCTGGCAGCCAAGGTCACTTTTGAAAAAGTCGGGCCTCTGTCGGGACTGGAACCCATGACTTTCAGATCCGCAAGCGAGCGTCTAACCGCTACACCACGGGGGCTTCCCTAACTAGTTCATAGTACATTCCTAAATGTATCTGTTGTCATTGTTAGATGCTATCGCTCTTAGCACATAGCCTTCCCTTTCTTAAAGTCCGAGCTGTGTGGTGTTGGTAGTCAGGCTCAACCTCAGCCTTCAGTCTCTTGTACTTTCAATCCATTGTTACATACATTCCCATACAAGCCATAAGGTCAAACTGTCCAGCATCTTTTCTCTCAGTCTTCCTCTGCTTCTCTTCCCCTCCAACTTTCCCAATATCACGACGTACTCCCGTTTTCTTCTTTTCATGATATGGCCAAGTTATATGGATTGTCTCCTTCCAATATGGAATGTGACTCTGCATATCTTTATACCTCTTTTCATCTGCCCAGTGTATTCTCATCATTCGTCTGTAAAACCACATCGCCGCAGTTTGCAAATAATTCTTCACTAATCGACCAAGTGTCCTTTTTTTCTTTCTCAAATCAAACCCTGATATTATATTAACACTTTATATACACCTTTAACACCTTTTGTTCCATCGTGTCTCTGTGAAGTTCCTTTAATCCCCAGTATATATTTTATTTTGGCAGTGTGGTGTCCCTGCCAGGAGCGACCGAAGAGGACATACAGTCACGTCTGAACAAAGCTAGAGCTGCTTTTGGAAGGATGAAGCAAATCTGGAAATCCAACAATTACTGCAGAGGAACGAAACTCCGACTCTACAAAAGCATCATTTGGCCAGTTCTTCTTTATAGAGCGGAATGCTGGAGGATGACCAAAAAGGATGTACACAAGCTGTCTACCTTCCACCACACATGTCTACGTAGAATTATCAAAATTGTGTGGCCAGATACAATCTCAAACACTAAACTACTTCAAGTCACAAACCAAGAAACTTTCGACAATATGATAACCAAGAGAAGATGAAAATGGCTTGGCCACGTTTTGAGAATGAATCCTGATATACCTGCAAAAACAGCTCTCACATGGACACCAGAGGGAAAGAGAAAACAGAGGCGCCCAAAAACAACATGGAGACGAACGATGGAAAGTGACCTGAGTGCGACATTTTTGACATGAAAAACTGCATTGAAGATTGCACAAGACAGGAAAGCATGGCAAGTCCTCTCTGAAGCCTCATGTGCCACTAGGTATAACGAGAACTGATGTTATATTTTATTTAAGCTCATCTGCTTGAAACCGACTTCTTGCCATCTGACACTGCAAACTATGGCATGAGAAACTGATGCGGATGACGATGTTGGCACCTTTGCTGTGTTTCCTGGAGATAAAGTTCCGTTCTGCTGTCGGAGCCGTGGGGATCAATGCTCATGGTGATGACGAGGGAGACTTACAAGACCTGCAGATGAGATGATTGTCACTATATACAGTCACAAATTACCCACACACCCACACACACACAGACACACAGACACACACACACACACACACGTAACGATAATAGTATAATATAATCTCCTTGCATTGGAAAGACTCAGTGAAATAAAAGCAGAACAAAAACAGCTTAAAACAGAGTTTCAACACGGAAGTTTAAAAAAAAAAGTACTAAGGTAGATGTTGAGCTGCATGCCAGGGAAACGTGTTGGGAGATTTGACGCAGGATGGTCTAAGACTTTTTCTCAGCTGGTAAATAAAACTGAGTCCCAAATGGTTTTATGGTTCTTTTGTGATAAGTCACCCCCAGATGACGTCACGGCGACAGTCCATTATTTTATAGGGTGTTAAGATGGGGTTTCCCGGCTTTGTTGTGCTTCTAACTACCAAAAACATCTAGAACTGAACATAACCTCAATGCGTCTACGTCCAACAAGAGATTGCAAACTAGGTCCCATGACTGTATGCAGCCTAGGTTCCACGACTGCTTGAAGCCAATCTACCTACCCCTGAAAAATGTGACGGTTCTTAATTTATAACGTACCCCAAACACGAAATTACCGTGGGAAATCCACAGCTAACCTGACAGTCCATTTTTTCAAGGGGTGCAAGTGTGCTGTTGTTTTAGTCTTTTTTTTTTGAGTGTTCATCTAGTGTCTTCTAACCCTAATCCTAACCATAATCCTAACCCTAACCCTAACCCTAACCCTAAACTTCCCTGTAGATAAATCGCGAGAAACTACAACCTGAACACCCTAGAATTTATTGGGAATGTCTCCCGTGACGTTGTCGTGACGTCAGGGATGTTATAAATTAAGTACCAATTTGACTGTTTGGGGTGAATAAAAACGAAAGCACCGGTTTTACTTATACACAAATAACTAACATAAATATAAATGTGTGTATTACTTTCAAACAGCAAAATACTCGATAGGTCGTATTTCAAAAGAATGATCTGACCACCTGTAAAATGTACGACAATATTTAATATATCAAGTGATATTCACAGAGACTTAGTCACTTCCGACAAGAGTTAATGTCAGACCCCAAAAAAATTAATAAACGGGGAATAGTGGTAACGCAACTGATATCTAGCTTGCCTGGTAAACTTGTGACCGTGAGCTCGAATCTTCATCTTGGTGAATATTTCAATCTGACCTGGTCTTCCAAAATCACACTGGACTAGGAACAAAAAAAGAGTCAGTCTTGTATACGTATTCTTCTTCACCAGCTGTAAACTCTGGCAGAAAGTTTTGGTTGTTCATCCACTTCTGGATTGCAGTCCTGTTCCAGAACTGGAGTGTTGCGTGTGCATCCGTTTTACAGATCTGACTCATTTGTGTGCAGACTGCTGGTTCCTTGCTCTCATGCTGATGCACTCCGATTTCAAAGGAAGCTCCCAATTAGTCGACTCTTACTAAATGAATTTGGGTAGGCAGTGGGTCTATTCTTGTTTTAACTATAATAGGGCTCCGGAACCCATACGGGGATTATATGTATTAAAGTCGCAATACAAAATAGGACTGATAATCTGTCTTCTAATATGTGCAGAATGGCTAGCATCGCTTCAGAGGTCCCGAGTATTAGCATCATTTGGCTATTTTCTCCAGGGATGGTTTGTTGGGGAATGACAAAGTAGACAGACTGGCTAGTTCTGCACTACTGGCGGTGAATTATTGTGGTGTGCGGAGTGACCGGGCATCAGGCCGACCCTCAGCTTTCAAATAAAAGGCGAGACGGATACTCACTCAGAAATTTGCTTGAGCCATTGCTTGCTGCAGAAATGGTGGACAGAGCACTTATAGAAATGACCCGAGTGCTGTGATGTGGATTCTTGATTGAACATTTCACAAAAGAGGGGTTGAGGATTTCCTGGGGTCCATAGCAACCACCTGGGAACCATTGTTCTTCAGTGCTAACTGCTAATTAGGAGTCGCCGTGGTGGAGTGGCTAGAAGCTGGCCTGTGGATCAGAAGCTCGTGGGTTTGGGTCCTGACCAAGCCGTACTTTTTTTTTCTCCCTCCCCCCCAATCACCTAGGCTCCCAGATCGACCCTGCCTTGAGTGAATACCAGATGCAGTCCTGGGAAGAAAAGCGACCGGCGTGATGCTCATCACATCATCCACCGAGTGGCGATCGGTCTATAAAATATAGGTTTAGCCCTGTGTCCAGTACCCCTGAAGAAGTGGAAAAGGGCTCCATTATTTATCTATATTCTAAATACGCTGTGAGGGTGATGACATTAATCCGCACTAGTTTATGTTATTGATATCCTTGTGTGATCATCTTTAGGTCAAAAAACATCTGGTGACTCATGATTCGCTGGCTCACTTCAAACAGCCGCCCGAATTCCTCGACCTGCTGATATGTATGGCTGGCCGTGGCGACAACTACGCGTCCACACAAGAGACACTGCTGAGAGATGACGAGGTACTGGCTAATTATGCTCACTATCTGCATGCTGGACAGTTACTTCTTCTGAGAAAGCGAAAGTAAGAATAATTGTTTGAATATACATCACTGTGGGTAATTTTGCAACAGCGGAGATAATTATCCAACACCCCCATATTTTCTTTTCATTCCCATTAATGTTTACACAGTTTACATTCATTTCTACACAGACCAAATTATTTCTCAGGGACGCGTAAAGATTGAACAAGTCTTTGCTCTCCTGGTTTCTCCGCTCTATTTTTTTGGCAGAATGCGGTCCGCTATAATTCCCAGTAAAGGAGCGCATAGTTATCCGACTTCAGGATATTTTTAGTTGACCGGTAAGCCCGTACGCCTAAAGACTACTCATCACCCAAATGCGAACAAAATCCTAATTGATTTGTTTGAAGGCTTATTAAAGTAGAAAGATTTTGTATGTCAAAAAGAGTGCTTTATTCTCAAATTCAATGTTTTGTGTTGTTATTTTGTAGACTGGCACTTGAGGATCACGTGACTTACTGGACAAAACGACTAGAGCAGACGGGAATCAATGCTGACGTCATGCTGGGGCTGTTTCTAGTAGTCGCCATCATGGTCACTGGAGCATGTTTTGGCATGAACTCCATTGAGAACACCATCTGGTGGCAGCACTGAAATATCTAGTCTCCTACAGCATGTATAAATCGTTAGAGAAACAAGAGAACGAACGAACTCTAAGGGTCACAAACTGGGCAACCACTCCCATCTTACATTCTGCCCGTTCAAACTCCCGTCTTTCACTTGGCAATTGTATTTTATATGTCAAGCATTGTGTTTTCTTGTATCGAAATTCATATTTATCATCATCATCGTGTAGCAGGTCGTTAGCATAACGTCGCTCTCATCACTGTCAACCTGAAAGAAACTTGGCTATCGCCAGCTCTCATGCCTCGAGGACTTTTATATTCAATGAGTCACTTATAACCTGTGCCCATCTTTGTGTTGGTTGGCCCCTGCCCCTTCTTCATGATACCAGGCATTCTGCTATTATGTTTTTTATTCTAATTCCCACGTGGCGCTTGATATGACTAAGATATTTTAGCTTTCGAGGCACAATGCTGTTTATTAGCCAATGTTCTTTGATGTTCAGATAATTTGAAATTTCATCATGTCTCCTTTTCTTTGCTCTTGGTATTCTGAGAATCTTGCTTTAGCAATTTAGCTCAAAAACCCATATTTTCTCTCTTAAAGGACTGGCAGATAGTCCATAACTCATATCCGTATAATTCTACGGGGAAAGTACGTGCTCTCAAAATTCTAATTTTTATCTCCTTGCTGGTGCTTAACAATAGACTTGTAATGTTGTTCAATCTTTGCGTTGCTTCGGCCATCCTCCTTTTGATTTTTGTCGAACAGTCTTCATCACTATTATTACAGAGCCTAGGTATTCAAAGTTTGTAAAATGTTCAATGTCGTCACCAATTATTGTTAATTTTGGGTGACAGCAAACTTTGTCTGTGCACATTATTTTTGTTTTCCTTAAATTCAAAAAATAGATTTTGATCGTCACTGTGTTTTTGGACCGACACAGACGTGATTAACTTTTCTATTCCCTTTAAATTGTTCGAAAGGAGGACTGTGTTTTCTGCATAGTGAAGTTCCGGAACAGGGTTGCCGCAAATAATGAGCGGTTCATAACTGTCACAAATCTTGTTATTTTTGACATTTTTTATTATTTTTTTTTTCTGCTTATATATATTAAAAAGGTATAATGCGAGAATGCATTCTTACCTCACTTCTTTTTGCACCTAGAACTATTCCGATGTTTTACCAGCTGCTCTGATGACTGCTTGTTGTTAATAATAAAAATTTAATTTTTTTTAATTAAATGCACCACATACGCTGGAAACCACATACTTATCACAATACCTCAACATTTTTGGCACAAGACACAATAAAATAAAAAGCAATGTTTCCCCGTTGTGAATTTGAACAGAAACGACACAAACAATAGATTGCACAATTCATTGCCTGGCATATTTCGCTGCATCTCGTCAGGTGCATTCTACAGTAACAGTTGATTAAATTGAAGCAAATAAATTACTACTTTGAGCAGAAACACAAAAGTCGACTACATTCAGTGTCTGTTTCACCAGGGTAACCGCAGGGTGACGAGCATTTCCTTTTGTCTGCATAGTTCTTGACTAGGCCGGCATTTAACTGACGCTTCCGGGTATCTCAGTAGTCTACGGTTGGCCGAAGTGTATGTAGATAATTCGAAATGCATCATAATTGTCTACCATGTGCCCAGAATTTAGAAGATGGCACGCAATTGCTGATGATGGATTTTTCTTGACCACTGCGAAGATGGATACAGGACATTGAAGAGGCATTAGCATTGAAAGCACATGGGGCCGAGAGCCGGCTAGGGAAAAAGGATGCTTTCAGTCGTGCCGTGAAGAGAGCGACATTCTGTAAAGGACTTGTTGATTGATTGATGAGAGGCTTCGAGGCTTTAAATAGCTTCATGCCTCATCAAGTCGAACTCCGGCCCTGGGTGTGGAGATTCACTGGGTGAAAGAGTCAATCATCCTATATATGATCCAACCCACAGCTGTATTCACTCTATGTGAAAAACGTCGAATACCTCATATCTGATCGAATCCACAGCTGTATCCACACTGTGTGAAAAACGTCGATCACCTCATATCTGATCGAATCCACAGCTGTATCCACACTGTGTGAAAAACATCGATCACCTCATATCTGATCGAATCCACAGCTGTATCTACACTGTGAAAAACGTCGATCACTCATATCTGACCGTTTCCACACAGGAGTTTCAACATCACTCAGACTATAGCCAAGGAAAATAAGCCAAAAAAGGTGATTGGATAAAACGACAGCAAGGTTCCTCACGAACTGATCATAAATAAATTGTATTGTTTTTATCTGTGATAAGAAGAAATGACATTAGGAATTAAGAAATTAGAAGAAGTCTAGAACTGAAACCATTCATATAATTCAATAGTAAACAACAAATAAAATGATTTGGCCACCTGGCGAGAATGTCCTGGCACCGACTTCCACAGAGTACCAGGCTGAAGAAATATAATGAACACAGAACAAGAGGAAGACCACGCAAGACATGGAGCGACATCATCAGAAGCAACATAGAAGAAATGAACACCAGTTGTACAATGCATTGGAAAAAAGCGCACAAACAATCCTTACAACCCCCCCCCCCCCCCCCCCACACACACACACACACCTCACTGAGGAAAATAGTGGAAGAGAAGAAGAATAAGATATTGTTTTCATTCATGGGACCATAATGCCCAGCTGATTCACACTTTTTCATTGCTTTGCCTAATATTTATATAACATATATTCGTATACGTCTCTTTTACAGGAAATTGGTTGCTTACGTGATTTCTCTCCAAAAAAATATAATTATTACAAATTTTAAAAACTCCTACAAGATTGCAACATTTTTCAGTGATGTCTGTGGTGTAACAACTTTCAGTGATGTCTGTGGTGTAATAACTTTCAGTGATGTCTGTGGTGTAACAACTTTCAGTGATGTCTGTGGTGTAACAACTTTCAGTGATGTCTGTGGTGTAACAACTTTCAGTGATGTCTGTGGTGTAACATCTTTCAGTGATGTCTGTGGTGTAACATTTTCAGTGATGTCTGTGGTGTAACATTTTTCAGTGATATCTGTGGTGTAACATTTTCAGTGATGTCTGTGGTGTAACATTTTTCAGTGATGTCTGTGGTGTAACAACTTTCAGTGATGTCTGTGGTGTAACATCTTTCAGTGATGTCTGTGGTGTAACATTTTTCAGTGATGTCTGTGGGCATAATTTATTATATTACTCCTAAATAAATGATGCTTGATCAGACAGGAGGAAAAGAGTAGCTCTACTGTAGCGGTTCGCAACCTGTGAGTAGCACCCCGTTTCTAGGTCGAACGACCCTTTCACAGGGGTCGCTTAAGACCATCGGAAAACACATATTAACTTATGAAGTAACAACGAAAATAATTGTATGGTTGGGGTCGCCACAACATGAGAAACAGTATTAAAGGATAGCGGCATTAGGAAAGTTGAGAACCTTTGCTCTACTGTGACATTGTGTTTGTCGTTCAAGACGACACAGGAGAGTTAGGTGAGACTGGATTTCTTGTCCTATAGAAGAGTTAGCTGCAAAACAACACCAATAAGACGACTGCATACAATGGTGTAAAGAAGCCTAGAGTATTACAGTAGAAACGAAGAAGGAAGTAATGCCTAAACATGAGAATGTTGTTGTGTTTCTGATCTCACCAAACAGTACGATATGGCTTTAACTATGATCTGTACTTTCTTAAAAAATTAATATGCCATAAAGACATTTAGTGTGACTACATGCGTGACTATGATAACAAAGCAACAGTCTCAATTGTTAGAAGAAGTAGAACAATTATGTTATTTGGAATAAACAAAAAGCAGATTGCTGGAGATAATGTCAGCGAGGCCCTAATATGTACGGTGATTTAGTGGTGGAAACGCCGCACACCAGAATACTTCAGAAACTAAACTGCACGACCATATAAATTATTTAAACCAAATTCGTAAAGAGCATAACATGAACATTAGCGCCAACAAAAATAAAGGTCATAACCATAGCCAAAGTAGACAAAACAATAAATATCCAGCTTACAGAACAGCCTCAGAAACAAACCAAGAACTACAAATAGTTAGGAAGCATAATAACATCAGCTGGCAAAACAGAAGATGAGATTGGTAACCGGTGTAACAAAACAAACCAACTCATTGACCAAATTGCACCAATATTAAGAAACAAACATGTGTCAGTAGAAACCAAAAGAGCAATCTATGACACAATGTTATCAATGCCATACCTGGACAATGACAGAAAAGGAGAGACAACAATTTCAACAACTGAAATTAGATTTCTGTGAAGGACTCTCAATATATCAAGAAGTGCTATGATTAGAAACGATTAAATCGGAAGGAAAATGATGATAAGGCAGCTCTGGATTTCATTAAAAGACAAGGAGTGAAATGGTTTGGCCATGTAATGCGGATGTCAGCAGACAGTATACCACAGCAAGCAATTATGTCCAGCCGAGGCGGGAAGCGAAGTCGAGGCTGAGCATGCAAGCGAATGACAGAGGGAACTACAGAATGCCTGGCAATTCCCGGCACACAGTCGGGCTCCTTTCCGTAGATTAAACTTCACCTCGGCACGGTAAGGTACTACAGCAGTGGTTCTCAACGTTCCTAAAGCCGCGACCCTTTAATACAGTTCCTTATGTTGTGTCGAGCCTCCAACCATACAATTATTTTCGCTGTTACTTCAGTGAATCTGTGTTTTCCGATAGTCTCTGGCGACCCCTGTGAAAGGGTCGTTCGATCAACAAAAGGGTCCCGACCCACAGGTTGAGAACTGCTATACTAGTGGATCAAGATGAGATGAGAGCCGAATACAACTGATGCTAACGTCGATGCATTTAAAGCAAGTTGAAGATGGTTCAAGAATTGAACGTGGGCGAGATTGTTTTTGTACGTGGACTTGACTTGGTTCGAGAAATTTCGTTGACAAACTGGAATTCATATTATCCAACAAAGAAAAAGACAAATGCCACTAGATCGTTACTTGTGAAAACA